TCCAACCACTGCTTTCCTCCCTAAGACCACAGCTTGTAGGTCTGCCCTACCCTACAGGTTTGTTTTCTCAGGTTCCCATAACCATTCCCTCCTATTGCCTTTTTCTAGCTCCCCCTTTCCTATCGCTGGGATGATTTTCTTTCATCCTAACACCCCTGGAATAGTCCTTAGATTAATTTTCAATTATCCTTATGAATATGCATCTGTTTCCTGTTCAGACACTGTTTGGTCAGGTGTGAGGAAGGCTGGGTGGGTTAGTCTTGCCTCACCTGGGTGCCGAGGTTACTTACAAACTTCTGATTTGTCACCGGTGTCTGATCTCTTCGCCCTCAGGGGAGAAACCCACATAGAAGGAAGTAAACAGCTTCTGTCCCCCACTCAGAAGTCTTAGCCTGGCTCAGCAACTCTCACCTTTGCCATGTCCCTGAATTCCAGCTTTTACTTGCCCACCTGGCCCCAACGTACTCACCCGCTCCTTCCCAACTCTGCTGGTCTTCTGGATTCTGGGCTCTGTCTTCCCACCTGGTTCTGTAGGGCTCACTCCCTCCTTCCTATTCTGATTCCTGGCCTTCACCCATCATCCACCTAGTGCCACAAGACCCGCCCTCGCCAGCATGGCCTGTCCTGCTCAGTAGTCACCGGCGTGGGACTTCAGGGGGGAAGGAGCACCTCTGAAAAGTGAGCAGCTTGCACCACGTTACTTTCTGTTTTGAGGACTTATTTAACAAAAGTTCAAGTGAGGGAGAATTATCCGACAGTCCTTAAAAATTAAGGTAACTCAAAAGAAAACAGGGAAAACTGAGCTATGGCAGAAAACAAATTTGAGTTTTACTAAATCAATGTGAGGCTTATGCTCCATTTTATTTTTTTAATTTATTTTTTAAATTAAATTATTAGGCTCCATTTTAAAATGAAAAAATAATGGTGAAAAGGTCTAGTAAGAACTTCAAAAGTCGAGGACTGAACATGGTTCTGTACCATGTCATGTGGGCCTGTGTTAAGCTCCTCCCTTGCCTTGCAACTTTCCATCAGGCAGGACGGGCTCCAGCGGGGCAGAGCACCTGTGGCACGGCGATGGCAAAGCAAGACACCAGGTTCTACAAACCCCACTATATCCTGAGGGGAAGTCACACTCAGGAAGCCAGAGTGGGCTACGTGGTCCAGCACTCCCCCGACCTACAAACTCCAGCCAGCCTTGGAGGCTCAGCATTTGGCTTCATGAATGGAGATGGCAGGTGGCTCATATAAAAGCAAACTAAGGTGAAGGCAGAGCTGTAACTAGTACCCCAAATACATGCAATGTGATGCCTTCCACTCCATTAACAGTCAGTTTAATGCATTTAAAAGCACCCGTCTCAAAGTGTGCTTCCCCAGAACATGCACACTAGCATTTTTTGGAAGCTTGTTAGACATCCAAATCCCAAGGCCCCACCCAAGATCTACTAAATTAGAAACTGGGATTTGGGGCCAGAATCTATATTCTATCAAGACTTCCAAGTGACTCTCATGCACACTAAAGACTTATAGAGCAAAAATAATATTTATCAAAAACAGTTCTATTCTTCCCCCAAATAAAAATCTCATTAATTATTTACCACAAGCTCAGAAAAATATCTATTGCTTTTCCCTTTAAACTCGGAGGGGGGGGTGGGGGGGAAGTAGGGGGAAGGACATGGAATGAATATTATAGAAGTCACTAATCAGTAGCTTAGACACATTCTTTTGTAAGAGGTTCCCCATCCTCATCAGGCTTTCCTTACCAAACTCCATGGCTACTCTCTGGATCCCTAGTGTCTACCACAGAGTCTGGCCCAAATACTGGCTAAATGCATAAGTCAGCGTGATGAATGGAGGAGAAAGTGGGAACTGGCAACACTGCCCATCAGCACAAAATCATTTGGAAACTCCACCTCCTGTGCCTGATCCACCAAACAGCGAACCTACACAGAGATGGCTGCCAGTTGACTGTATGTCAAAACAGACTTTCTACAACTAGCTGCCTAGTCTCAGCTGCCTCCCCAGTTGCAGCAGCTGGTATGAGAAAAGGCTTGTAAGAACCCCCGGATCTTCCCAGAGAGAGATTCAACTATCTCCTCCGAGGATTTCTGAACAAGAATCACAAAACTGGCACAATATCAGAAGTGAGCATTCTGCAGGATTCTCCTGTTGGAGTACTATTTTTAAAAAGGCAAACAAGATGGAGAGGAATTGCTAGGAAGTTGCATTTTTACAGCAATTGGAGACAAATCTAATTTCTTACCAGAAATGGAAACCCATATGATATCATTGTACTGTATATGAATTATTAATGTTTATAATTTTTTTGTAAGTTAGGCATTCAGGAAGGTTCCTGTTGACATCATGTTTGACATCATAATGCTTCATCATTCTAAAAGCTTAATGAGATGAATTATTGCTAGAAAAGAGAGAGAGTGGGAGATCAAGCACACATATTTGTACTCTGGGGAACACCAGAGACCAAGTAAATAATGAGGATATGGTTTATAATTGATGTACAAAGGGAATTTTTTTAAAATGATTATAGCCCACTGTAAACAGGACAAAAAAGCAAAGACTTTACTTTTCTACTTGAGCATCTTAGAGAGGGGGAGCATGGCAGCCATGACTAGCAATTATCTCAGACTCTTAGCTATAAGAATTCTGATTCTAAAAATAAATAAAAGTAGTTTTTACAAAATTACCTTAACTACAAACGAGTATGGAACATGTGAAGATTGAATATATATATATCACTGGATCACAAGTCCTACAAGGATACTATTAAATATATTAAAGCAATTCTATAGTAACAATTCTGTAGGATTTATATAATTCTGGTCTCATATTTAATTTCAAATCTATAGTTTCTGAGATCTACACATGCAATTAGTGCTGAGTCATTAAACCACCAGTTTCATTCCCAACATTCCTAGTAATAGCTTGGAATGAATTAAGCTCTTATTTGAAAATCTTGTTGATAAAGCAAAGCGAGTTAAATTCCAACGCAGGTCAAGCCTTTTAACACTTCAGCCAAGTAGCAATGATGTTTATACAAGTTTATACTAGCTGCTAATAATTGGGACTCACTTTCCCTCCAGTTTTTACTCCATTTGGTCTCTAAGTAGCCTCTTGAGAGAAGTACTAAAACATGGGGAATGAATCCATTCATTATTCTTTCTTTCATTGAACAAACATGGGGTAGCTAGAGTTGCCAGGTACTAAATTGGGAATCCTGCTACTTTGAAAGGCAAAACACACAATGTCTCTGAAGCAACTAAAAAAAGTTTCAAAGTTCATAAATTGTCACCATTCTAAACTACTGCTTCATGTCTTCAAACTTCATTTTCAACAAGGAGACAAAAGGACAGTCTTTATAGATAATATCCCAATTAATTATTTAACCAAATATAAAATTTTATTTTCCTGAAATTTCTCCTAATGCAAACTTTAGGTGAACCAGTGTGTAGAAAAACTTGACAAAAGAAAAACATGCTGTTCTGCACATGCCTCTATAACAAACGCTCCATTGGTAGATTGCACTGTCATGCATCCAGGTCTCTAGTGTTTGGACATTCTATCATCACATGGTTAACATCCAAAAGCTAGAAGAGAACGCTTATTAACTGGCAGATAGCAGGGCTCAATAAATGGTGTTTTATTATAATGATTATATTATCATACCACATATGTAATTATTACCAGTAAAAGGCTACAGCCATAAATAAGCATCATGTTAAGCTTCATGTTGCAAAATCAGATGCTGCTAAAGTAAGTGCACTGAGGAGGCTTTTGGTCTTCCAGACTGAAGCCAGACAAGCCGTCCCTCCACTGGGAGCTGACTTTATCCAGTGAAGACCAGAATGCTCCTCACACTAGGCCCATTGGGAGACGACTTTTCCAAGTATTAAACACACGATTGTGTATAACCAACGGAACGGCTGCTGGTAACCCGCTGGCCATGTACACGCTGTGGATGTCACGCAGCTTCTATAGAACATTACAAGTCATGGAGATGTATTTTTTTCCCCATCTGCACAATGGGATGTGCCATTGTCATTCTGTTGGCTACATGGATTAAAGGCCCAGTGGCCAGGTTTACACAATGAAAACCCTCTTGGATTTAACGGTATTTTGAGAACATACAGAAGGGCAGCAAGCATTAAAGCAATCACGTTTCCTTCTGAAATATCTGGTGACTGCTTTAATCACTTAGACCATTTCCCCCACTTCCTCACAACCCCACCCTCCGGGAAGACGAGATGTGTGTGCAGAATTTCCAGCGTCAGACAGCTGCCCTGCACTGCAAACCCACTCCCCTCGCCTGGCTCCGCTGACCCTCCAAACTCAAGGCAGGTTCTCTCCATTAGGTCCCGACTGCAGCCAGCCCAAACTAGGGACAAACAACAGGTCCCGCTCTGGTTCTCTCCCTCCATCTTCCACAAACGCACACCCTCGTTCATTCACAAATCCCCAGCCTGGCTCCTCAGACTCCATGCGGCTGGGCTGGTTTCCCCAGGTTAACACTGGAATGCGAGGCACTACGGTCGGTCTCCCGGCCCCAGGTCTGCACCATTCCCCTGAAAGCCACGCCAGTCGTCCTGGTGCTCGGCTTTCATTCAATCAGACTGGCCACCGAATGCTCTCAATGACACCCATCCCTGCTCTCTCGCACGAACCCAGACACAGCCTTCCTCCCTCCATGGGAACTCGGCCAGCCCGCCGGCTCCCCAATGCGCTCCCTTTTCCCACCCATTCCCCCAGAACCAGCTCCCGGGACCCCTCCAGGGGTCTCTCTCCTGCTCAGATTTCCTGGCTCTCATCGCCCCCCACGAATGAAAAGTAAACTCCTCCTGGGTGACCACCTCCCCTACCCCACCGCGTCACGGCCACTCAGTTCCGCTGGAGCCCCCTTTACCCGTGCAAACCGGACAGACAGACAGACAGACGGACGGGACGGGTGCCCCCCACCCCCAGCCGTGCCTGCGCCCGGGGGCGTTTACCTGGAGGTTGGAGTAGGTGGTCTGGGTCTCGGCCTCGGCGCTGCTGCAGCAGTGGCGCCGCCGGCCCCGGCAGGTGGTCGCCGCGGGGGCTGCGGAGCCCGAGCTGCTGCTGCTGCTGCCCAGCTCGGCGCGAGCCCTGCGGACCCGGGCGGCGCCGGGAGGCCCGGACTCGCGGCTCCTGGGGAGGGTGGCGGCGGCGTCGGGCTGCCCCGAGAGGCCGGGCACGGGAGGCTCGGGGCCCTGCGACACGCTGGTGGTGTGGTGGGGCGAGTTGGACTCGTCCGAGTCCCGACAGTAGATCACGCCGCTCTGCGAAACGTGGATGCTGGGGGCGCAGCCCATCCCTCGGCCGGGCTCCCCCGCGTCCCGGGCGCCCGGACCCCGCGCCCCCGCCGCCACCTGCAGGGAGGGGGCGGGCGCCTCGGCGTTTGGGGCGCCTGCCCGGCCGCCGCTCCGTCGGGCTCACTGCGGTGTCCCCAGCCGAGCCTCCGGGGGCCGCACGCGTCACCCCAACTTTCCCTTCTGGGCCATCGTCCTCCCGGGGCGGAGGAGCGCGCACACACAGCGCCCGGCGCGCACCGGCGGCCGCCACCCTCCCCGCCCGCCGCGGCGCCCCAAACGCGCTCCCCGCGCCGCCGCCTCCCCCTCCTCCTCCCTCCGCTCGGCCCGCGCCGCCGCCCGGCTCCCCGCGCCCGTGACCCCGGGCCAGGGCGCCCGCCCGCTCCCTGTCTGCCTCTTCTGTCCCCACTTCCAGACCGCGCCCGCGCGCGCGCCCTCCGCCCTCCGCCCTCCTCTCTCCTCTCTCCTCCCTCCGCCCTCCTCCCGCCTCAGGTGCCCCGGCTCCGCAGCCACCGCCGCCCGGCCCGCTGCGCCCGCGGCCCCGCCTGCCGCGCCCCGGCTCCCCGGGTGGGGCGAGCGCGCCCGCCACTCCGCTGGGTCCGCCGGGCTCCAGTGCGCGGCCGCGGGCCCCATGCTTCGGCGTCCTCCCCACCTCATCCCTCCACTCCCTCCACCCCACTGTCCAAAGGCACCATCCTGGTGCCGCCCCCCAGTGCCCCAGCCTCTCTTCCCCTCGCCACAGATACCGGCAGGGGCCTGAGGGCGGTGTAGGGGGGGTGGAGTGGGGGGGGGGAGCACCGCAATAAGCCTTTCACGAAGACATATTAACACATCCCTGAGCTAAACATCAGGACGCCATGCAGAAATAGTAGGGACCTTATAGCCCAAGCCGTCCCATCTGACTTGGTCACCCCCCTGTACACTCAGAAAGCTAAGGCGAGACCTCGTGCTTCCACAGCCCCCACCCTTGTACTCTGGAGGCCAAGTGGGATGGCGACTCAGGCTTCTTAAGTCCATTCCACGTCTACCCATGACCTGGAGGTTCATGCCCAGGGGTGGGCGTCTACAGAGGAAGGAACACTTAAACACACAAACGCTCCTAAGATCCAAGGGGGAAAAAACCAGAAACTCCGTGTGGTTCTTGGTTTTGTCCTCCAGAGTTTTCAACCCTTTCTTGGGTGCTGCTAAATTTTCATCCTGGCTTCTACCCCATCCAGCCCTAGTTGTCAAGGGCTCTTCCTCACACTCTGGACAGGGCTGTGAAATGGTGAGCCTCCCATCACTCCCCTGAGAGAGGATGCACAGGCTCCAGGAGAATAGAAACATCTTTAGAAGCAAGGCTGCTTTTCATTCTCCTCCTGATGTGAACGTGGAGGTAGAACGGCCCATTTACTCACTGGATCTTCTAGAGATTCCTGCCTGCTGCTCAAGGGAGACCAGTGATGGTCTAAAAAAGGACTCAAGACAGAGTTGCTTGTAAGAGCAAGGGCAAGAACAGAGTTACAATGTAAAGCACAAAGTATCCAATTGAAATAATTCGATTCTTCCTTTTCTTTCTCTACCCCTAACACCGACCTTTGAAGTGATTGGATGAAGGCTTCCAATGACAGCTTCTAACCTTCATAGAGAAGCAAGGTGTCACTCCAAATCCCAAATTAGATACTAGAATTCTAATCTAATTCTTCTTTGCTTCTCTTCTCAGTTTAACATTTTGACTTTCCATCTTGGAATCAACATCTGGGAAGAAAGGAAGGAGGAAGGAAGCAGAGAGGGGATGAGGGAGGCTGAGAGGAAGGAAAGATAGAGCAGAGGGAGAGATTGAGCTAGGATAGGACTGTCTCGATGACAGCCTCAGGCTTGTCTCCAGGGAAGACTCTGAAGCTGAGATGGTGCTTCAGCATTGTCCTGAGGTGGAGCCAGGAGGAGGGGCTTTTTTTGGATCAGGAGTTACTGGCCATCGGATTTTCTCCACCAGAAAACTGGTTGTAATTTCTGTTATATCATAGTCTTCTTGCCTTCTCTTCTCTGAGTAGTTTCATTACAGGAACCACATTCCTAGAGAAGACTCTGAAAGAAGACATGTGGCATGGAATGTAGCATGGCTGGTAGATGTCAAAAAATGGCCATCTCAGCAAGCTCAGGAAGGTGGCTCTCTTCCGGGACCGACAGCTGAGCTGAGGGCTTTCTGCTGGCAGCACTACGCCAGCTGGAGGAGAAAGTCCTTCTTTCCCGGTATCACAGCTTCCACCAAGGTTCCCTTCCAGGCTGCCTGGATCCATGCTCCCTTGTCCTATCCATGCCTTTAAGAACCCCACATTGAACGGTCAAGACTGAGAGACAAGGACAATCATTCATTTAAAATAAGAGTGAGCTTGATGGCTGCTATCTGCTCTATTTCCAAAGGACCATTCAGAATCTGGACAAACATCATCAGAGTTAAATTATAAAATCACCAGTCTCCATACCAATCCCTGATGTCATGCTAAGTCAAGAACTAATTGTTCTTAAACTGTATCTAGGATTCAGATTATGTATACACACTAGAGGCACGGTGCATGAAAATTCATGCACGCGAGGGGGGTCCCTCAGCCCAGCCTGCCCCCTCTCACAGACCAGGAGCCCTTAGGAGCAAGAGGCGACCCGGTGGTCAGGGGAAAGCAATGCCCCCATCACCCCTCTGCTGCTGCCACTGTTGGCAGCACAAGCCTCTGCTGGCCCTGGTTACCTGTTCCTCGGGCCGGCCCTGGGCAACTGGGGGTCTGAGGGGACTGGGGGACTCTGGAGGCAGGCATGTGGCAAGGTTGCTCTAGTGAGGCTAAGGGGACTGGGCACCACCATCTTGTGGCTGTGGGTGCCACCATCTTTGAGGGTGGGGCAGTCTATTAGCATATTCCCTCCTTATTGGCTGTGGGTGCCGCCATCTTTGTGACAGCATGAGGGTCAATTAGCATATTCCCTCTTTATTAGGATTTTAGTCATTAGCCCTCAGGGAGCTATCAATGGCAGCCATTTCTTTGAAATTTACAGTTATGCTAAATTTCATGCCCTAAGAATACAATTACTATAACGAAACTACCCAGAAAAAAGAAGGCGAGAAGTCTATGATAATACAGAAATTACAACCAGTTTTCTGGTGGAGAAAATGAAGGGCTCAATCCTGAAGGGACAAGTCATACAGAAACAAATTTAGGTTAAACTTTCTACATTAAAAAAGAAGAAAAAAAAAAAAAGCACAGCTGGTGTCACTCAAAGGTTGAGCATTGGCCCAGGAACCAAGAGGTCACTGGTTTGATTCCCAGGCAGGGCACATGCCCAGGTTGCAGGCTCAATCTCCAATAGAGGGTGTGCAGGAGGCAGCCATCAATGATGATCCTCTCTCATCAATGTTTCTATCTCTCTATCTCTCTCCCTTCCTCTCTCTCCAAAAACCAATTTTAAAATATTTTAAAAGAAGAAAAAATAAAGATTAAGCCTTGACAGAACCTCAAGGTCGTTAGTGACTAGGACTAAGTTGCTTAAGTATGTTTAATTGGACATTTTATACCCTGACCAGTGCCTTTTGCTGAGTATGACTCTTCTGTGGGACTAGAAGACGGAATGAGGAAATGCACTAGGCATACATATTTCCTCCCTATCCCTGAGGAGCCAATACTTCCAATGTCTTCCTCAGACACAATTCCACTGCCAATTCTGGCTTACTGAAAGGAAAAAACAAAACAAAACAGTGCAGCCCTCTCCTCTGCACCAAGTGTTTGCAGTGGGAATATGTAACTTGCCCCCGTGGCTGGCACAGACCTGGTCACTGAAACATGTAGAAATGTGCAAATGGAAGAGAGATGGTTTCGCTGAAATCATTCTCTCACTTAGCTGTGAAGCCTGAGTGCTTGCTGGTGTAAGTGATTTCTGGACCAATTCCCATGTCACGGTTTCAGTGTACTCCAGGATAACAGCCGTCTACGAGCTTAGGCACTGCAGATAAACTTTGGGTTCACGTTACAGAATAAAGCCAGAAAAACAAACATTATAAAAAAAATTAAATTAAGTGAAAAAGACTTGCAGTCGATGTCCAAGAAATAAATCAAAAGAAAGCCAACTAAATCAGAAATTTCTTTCAAAACTAAACCTCCGCTATGTCCAGGGTCAGCTGAATAGCTTGTATGTTTTATACTAATATTAAATAGGACTTTCTTCCAGAATTATGGCCCTGAGGCACTGCAAGACTCTGAAAAACTAATATTCCTTCCCATTCTAAAATAGTATGACTCTTCCAGAATCCCTAAAGGAGCAGAAAGTGTGACTAATATATCCTGAATGATTCATAACCATAAAGGTTAAAACAATAGCAGTTTTCTGGTTAATCTTTAGATAACCAAATATTTAATCAAACAATCAACCTTCCAGAGTTTCTAAATTCAAACTACTTTCCTAGTGGTGGACCTTATTGGAAATCTAACCAACTGGTAAGTGGAATGTTGTGGAGGGTTCATTGAACTCAGAGTGAGAGGGATGGATCTGAACCAAGGTGCTACTGCCTTTTAGAGCTGTAGAGCTTCAGGCAAGTCACTGATGGAATTAAAGGAGGAAGAAAGAAGGCAGGAGGTGGAAAACCCTGAAACAACTTCTCTATGTAGTGGAAGTCACTGTAGGTTCTACCACCTTAAGAAAACTCCCCATGCCTGGCCTGTGTGGCTCAATGGTTGAGCATCAACTGACCTATGAACCAGGAGGTCATAGTTCCATTCCTTGTCAGGGCCCATGCTCAGGTTGTGGGCTCAATCCCCAGTTGTGGGCATGTATGATTCTCTCTCATCATTGATGTTTCTCTCTCTCCCTTTCCCTTCCTCCTCTCTGAAATAAATCAATAAAAAATATAAATATAAATAAAAAAAAGAAAAAGGTTCAGGCCCTCTTCAGCCCCCATGCGCACTTTGCTAGGCATACCTTCCACTCCAAAAGATTTCATTACACTACAGGATGCCAAATCACTTGTTCAGCAAATATTTACTGAGTGGTAACTTTGTATCAGATACTAAATAGGCACTGGGGAATAAGACATAAACAGTCTCTTATATCGATGGAATCGAGAATATTATGGAGGGTTGTCAGATAAAATTCTCAGGTAGTGGTGAAGGTTATCTAGGGATCTAAAATAGTTTGATGTAATAGAAAGATACGTGGATAGGGTTATGGACATTTTCTCAGGAGATAAAAGCTAAGATTCTCAGAAAACCTAATCAAAGGAATATCATTATTTCTCTCCCTCTGTCCACCCATCCACACAATTACAATAGAACATTGTTTGAGCACCTACCACTATGCCAGGCACTGTGAGGACACAGAAAAGTAAGATCCTCGGTACTAGCTTTCTGGCAGTTCCAAGG